TGATAAAACACGTACAGAAGTTCTTGGCGCATTTTCCATTATTTGTTGGACATTTTCTTTTAATTCTTCAGTCCGCTTTTTAGGTCGGCCGCTTCCTTCTTTTCTTGTTACACTGCCCGTTTCACGAAAAACATTAACACAACGCTGAACTGCACTTTGAAAAATTTTGTACTCAACAACGCCGGGAAATTGATTTTGAAATTCTATGAAACATTCCTCAATAGAATACTTCCATATTCCATCAATCTTGCGTCCATTTCTAAAGTAGGACTCTATGATAAACACTTTTTGTTCTTGAGAAAACACCATTTTAAACGCTTTTTAAAACGAAAATATTCAAATTGATAGCGGCGATATAGCGCTTTGACAGATGACGTTTAAGTTCATTTGCTATACGCTACGCCCTACGTCCAAATTTTCAGAACCAACTTGACCACGTTTTTATTTGAACGCTCGTTACAACTATAACACGAGACATGCTGATGATCTTAGAGTGCCGTTTGCTAAACTAAAACTAGCCCTGAATGCTCCTTGCTGCTTGGGTCCAAAAGTTTTAATCGTTTACCAAACGACGTTAAATACTGTTTGTAAATATTTTTAAACGGAAGTTAAAGCTATATTTGCTCGATAAATGTTTTAACAGTGTGTCGGAGTTTTTAAATTTTTAAATTGAAGTTTTTAATTTTTTCATGTTAAATTAAGTGTGTGACGAATCCTATACTTGTATACTGTCTTAATGGAAAATAAATCATTATTATCATTATTATAGGGAGATTACTACCGGTAAAAGCACGTACGTTTAAAATGTCCAAAAACCATTCGAAAAAACGTATGTAATATGTTCTTCGATACCAGAAATCAACAATATAGATAAAACTCTTTTACCATGCCCCAACAAGTTATATACAGGGTGTCACTTAACGAATGTTACATACCTACTTCAAGCGTATAATCTAGAACCCAAGTGGCGTCGACTTAACCAAACTTGCTTAAACGAAAAATGTCGGAAATAAGTTACAGGTTGTTAACGTTTCTTTTTTATTTCTTGTTTTCTCCTTAACTCAGAATGGTACAGTCATTGAAGCTGAAAATCAGCTGTAACCTCCGAATTCTTTGAAACTGCATGAATTTGCATGAAAATCTAGAATAAAGCTCATCTTAGGCTCAAGTTCAAAAGCGACATAAGCCCGATTGACGATTTTTGTTTTTTAGGGGTAAAAGCTACCCCTAAGTGAAAAAATTGAAAAAATTAAGTTTTAAGCATTTTATTGATAAAAATCTTGTTCAAGCACAAAGATTAAATAATGTTCCATGTTCTCGAACATGTTTTATGATATATTTGATCTTTTCGACCCTTTATTTAACCCTTAAACACTACCCCTATGCAAAAAATAATCATAAAAAATTACTTTTCAAAGATTTGGAATGATTAAATCCTGCAATTATTTAAAATAAAAGTTACCTTATAGCTAATAAAATAATTTTTCCCTTTCAAC